GGGAATAAAAAAGAGGGAAAAGAGGGGCAAAAAAAAGGTGGAAAAAGGGGGAAAGCGGAATTAAAAGGGGGAAAAGAAGGTGGAAAAAAAGGGAACAAAGGGGGAGGGAAGGGACTTTTAAAAAGGGAAAAGAGAAGGGAAAAAACGGGAGGAAGGGCGGGAAAAAGTGAATTAAAAGAGAGAGGGGAAAAGGGAATTAAAAAGGGGAAAGGGAAGAGGAAAAAAGGGGAAGAAAAGGACGGTGAATTTCCCGCCGTGCCGCGCGCAAGGGAGGCGCAGAGGAGTGGCAATGTCGCGATATGTCGCCGTATGTCGCGATATGTCACGCGCTGTCGCCCGTCCCAGAGCGCCGCCCGACCGGGAGGCACCGACTGCCGCGCCGCCGTTTATATTGTAAACGAAAGGCGGCGGCAGCCAATGGGAGAGCGCGATAGGCGGGGCCTACAAAGCGCGGCAGATGATTGGTCTAAAGTAATGATTGGCGGAAGCTGCGACCAATAGAAGAGTGCGGAGGGTGGAGCCAGGGAAAGTGCGGAAGTACTCAAGGAGGGGAGCGAAAGGAAATTGATTGACGGGAGCTGTAGCCAATAGGGAGCAGGAAGAAGCTAAATAGGCGGGGTCATGGGAAGGGGCGGGGCTTAATGTCCGGAATGGCGCGGGGTCGAACGGGGTGAAATGGGGGGGACATTTGAGGGGGGATTTTGGGGACACGGCCTCGCCAGGGTGGGGACATGGCTGGAGGAAGGGACAAGGAGGGGGTGGCAGTTGAGAACCTCCCAGAAGTGCAAGTGGGGGTCGATGGTCCCGACTGAAGGGGGCCATGTCACCACCATAAGGAACAACCCCTGGCCTGGGGGTGTCACTGTCACCTGGGGTTGTGGCTCTGTTCATATCCCATTCCCAGTGTCCATATCCTGTCCCAGTGTCCATATCCCATCCCAGTGCTCATATCCCATCCCAGTGTCCATATCCCATCCCAGTGTCCATATCCCATTCCCAGTGTCCATATCCCATTCCCAGTGTCCATATCCTGTCCCAGTGTCCATATCCCATCCCAATGTCCATATCCCATTCCCAGTGTCCATATCCCATCCCAGTGCTCATATCCCATCCCAGTGTCCATATCCTGTCCCAGTGTCCATATCCCATCCCAATGTCCATATCCCATTCCCAATGTCCATATCCCATCCCAGTGTCCATATCCCATTGCCAGTATCCATATCCCATCCCAATGTTCATATCCCAGTATCCATATCTCATCCCAATGTCCATATCCCATCCATGGTAGACCCTATTTCTGTTGCCGTGGCACCAAGACGCGCCTTGAAGCCCCGCCCTCGTTGCCATGGCAGCAGTGACGCTCCCATTAAGCCCCGCCCAATTTCCATGCCAATGGGACGCTCCCATTAAGCCCCGCCCCGTTGCCATGGCTCTAAGACGCTCCGTGCAGCCCCTGCCCCGTTGCCATGGCAGCAGCGACGCTCCCGGAAGTCCCTCCCCCGTTGCCATGGCACCGCGACGCTTCCCATGATGCCCCGCCCCCGTTGCCATGGCACCGTGATTCTTCCCATGATGCCCCGCCCCCGTTGCCATGGCACCGCGACGCTCTGGCCGGGCCCTCATGGCGGCCGAGGGGCCGCAGGCGGGGCCGGACACGTCGTTGGTGTCCCTGTACCGCTGGTTGGACACGGTGCCACTGTCGCGGCCGCGCAGGAACATCGCCCGTGACTTCAGCGACGGGGGTTGGCCTTACGGGGACACGGCGGGGTGGCCGGGGCGGGCTGTCCCTGGTGGTGCCACCCACAGAGTGTCCCCTCTGTCCCCGCAGTGCTGGCGGCCGAGGTGGTGAAATTCTTCTTCCCCTCCATGGTGGAGCTGCACAGTTTTGTACCCACGAGCTCTACGGCGCAGAAAGTCGCCAACTGGGGCCACCTCAACAGGTAGGGACAGATGCCACCAGCTCCGTGTGACACTCACCCCCTGGGGTGTCCCCAAAGTGTCCCCGCGTGTCCTGGGGTCCCACTGTTGGTCGCACCCCGACAGCTCCGTGTGGTCTCAGAGCCACCGTGGCGTGCTGTGGGTGGGGATTGGTGTCCCCTTGTGTCCCCTCCTGTGTCCCTCTGTCATCTCCCCCCGGGTTTTTCCTTCATCCCAAATTTTAGGAAAGTGCTGAGTAAGCTGAATTTGCGCGTCCCGGAGGAGATGATCCAACAGCTGGTCCAGAGCCGGCCGGGAATGGCCGAGCAGCTCCTGCAGCTCCTGAGGGAGAAAATCCAGGAGAGGCAGAGGCAGAGGAAGGTGAGGGAATCCCCTGGGAATGGGGAATTCCCGGAAATGGGAATGTCCCAGAAAATGTTGGACATTGGGGTTTGGAGCAACCTGGGATAGTAGGAAGTGTCCCCAGATGGGATATAAGGTCACTCCCAACATAAATCATTCCAGGATTCTGCTCTGGAGCCAGGCTGGGAGAGCTGGGAATGTTCCCCTGGAGAAGGGAAAATTCCAGGGAATGCTCAGAGTCCCTGCAGGGGCTCCAGGAGAGCTGGAATTTGGGACAAGGCCTGGAGGGACAGGACCCAGGGAATGGCTCCCACTGGGAAAGGGGAGATTGGGCTGGGATCTTGGGAAGGAATTCCTGCCTGGGCTGCAATTCCCAGATTTGCTGGGGCTGCCCCTGGATCCTTGGGAATGTCCAAAGCCAGGTTTGGATCCACCTGGGCTGGTGGCAGGGGCTGTCCCAGCTATTCCAGATGTTCCAGAGGTTTTCCTGCCTCTCCTCACAGCCCCCAGCAGAGCCAGCAGCGCTGGAGGAGGGCGGATACCTGGACACAGGTAGGGATGGGGGGAAAAGGGATCCCAAAATCCCCCATTGGGATCTTTTGGGGTCCCTGGGAGGGGACAGGGGTGTCCATCCCTGTGGGATTTTCCAGGCCATCCCAAGGTCCGGAGTGATTTGGGAAACCAGGAGGGCGCTGCCAGGTGAGGGCTGGGCAGGGAATGGGACCCTCTTGGGGTCGGGGGTCTTTATGGGGTCACTGTGGGGGTCAGGGGATCCTTGTGGGGTTTCGGGGTGACTGTGGGGTTTGAGGAGTCCCCATGGCTGTCAGGGGGTCCCTGTGGGGTTTGGGTGTCCCTTGTGGGGGTCAAGGGGTCACAGTGGTGGTTTGGGGACCATTGAAGTGGGTCGGGGGTTCCTGTGGTGGTTTGGGGTTCCCTGTGATGTTTGGGGTGTCCCCGTAGGGGGTCAGGATGTCCTCATATGTCTCTTGGGGTACTTGTGTGGGGTTCGGGGTGTCCCCATGGGAGTCTGGGAGTCCCTGTGGGGTTTGGGATGTCCCCGTGGCGGTCAGGGGGTCCCTGTGGAATTTGGGGTGTCCCCGTAGGGGTCAGGATGTCCCCATATGGCTCTTGGGGTCCTTGTGTAGGTCAGGGGTTCCCTGTGTTTTTTGGGGGTCACAGGGGGTTGTCTGGGGGGTCACTCCGGGGTCTGGGTGTCCCCGAGTGTCCCTGGGTGTCCCCACGGATCCCTCTGGGGACCAGCACATTCCCATGGGATCGGGGGACGGGATTTGGGGTAACCCCCGGGCCACAGGCGGGCTCGATGTCGCCACGTCCCTGTCCTGTGGCCGCGCCAGGGGGGTGCCAGCCCAGCCCGGGGCTGTCCTTGGGGACATGCGACAGCAGCTGGAGGAGCGCGAGCAGGCGCTGCAGCTGGCGAGGGACACGATCCAGGTGAGCGCATCCCAAATCCCGGGGGGACACGGGGACATCCCGGGGGGACACACGCGACACTGGCCTGGCCCCGCCCTTATTCCCGGCTTTTCCTGGTTTTCCCCTGTCCCTTCTTCCCTAAAATTTTCCCTCTCCCCCTTTCCCAGCTTTTCCCTGTCCCTCCTTCCCCGCTTTTCCCGGTTTTTCCTTGTCCCCCTTTCCCGGCTTTTCCCTTTTCCCCCTTCCCAGCTTTTCCCGGTTTTTCTCTGTCCCCCTATGCGACTTTTCCCGGTTCCTCCTTCTCTAAAATTTTCCCCATCCTCCTTCCCGTTTTTTCCCCCCGATTTATCCCCTTTCCCCCTTTCCAGTCTTTTCCCAGTTTTTCCCTGTCTCTCAAATTTCCCCTGAAATCCGGGTTTTTCCCGCCGCAGATATAAATTTCGGGAAGAGCCGCAATTATGTGGGATATCTGGGATGGGAAGAGCGGGATATCTGGAATCCCTTTTTTTTGTTTGCTTTTTTTTTGGGAAAGGGGAGGCTGCGATCGGAATCCCAAATCCATCGCTTTCCTTCAGTGGGGGAAAAAAAAAAAAAAAAAAAAAAAAAAAGAGAGAAGATCCCCGGGAATGGGATTTTGGGGTTTTGGGATTTGGGGATTTTGGGATTTAGCTCCCGAATCCCTCGGGAATCGCAGATCCTGCAGGCCAAGGTGGGGCGGCTGGAGCAGCTCCTGCTCCTCAAAAATCTCCGCATCGACGACCTGAGCCGGCAGCTGCAGCAGCTCCAGGGCCAGCGCCGCTGACAGGCGACAGTGACACCGCTGCCACCGCGGGGTGGCACCGCGCTGGTGGCCCGGGGACACCCCAGGGGGGCTCCCAGCGCGTCCCAGTTCGCCCAGTGCCCGGTGCGGCTGCGGCGCTGGGGATTAAAGTGTTGGAACTTGGATCGGGGTGAGAGTGAGGAGACAGCGAGGGGACATCGAGGGGACAGCGAGGGGACAGTGCGGGGAGAGGACAGCAGTGTGGAGATGGCACTATGGGGACATCGTTGTGGGGACAGCAGAGTGACAGCGACATCCCACGTGTCCCACCTCCCCGGTGACATCCCCAGCCACGGGGACACGCCCAGGGGGTGGCTCTGGGGACATGAGCGTAGAGGTGGCAGTGTGGGGACACGATAGGGACACTGTGAGGGACATCGGCGTGAGGACATCAGGGACATCGAGGTGGGGACACTGTGGGGACTTCATAGTGGCGACAGCAGGGAGGGGACGGCAGAGTGGGGACATCGGCGTGGGGACACTGTGGGGACACTGAGGGGGCAGCAGGGTGGGGACAACATTGTGGGGACACCGTGGGGATGCTGTGGGGACATCAGGGTGGGGACAGCAAGGTGGGGATGGCAGTGTGGGGACACTGTGGGGACAGCAAGGAGGGGACCGCCATGGGGACACCCTGGGGATGCTGTGGGGATATTTGGGGACACTGTGGGGACGCTTGGGGACACCCTGGGGACACTGTGGGGATATTTGGGGACACCCTAGGGACGCTGTGGCCGCTCCTCCCGCCCGGTGGCCGCCGGGATTTAATCCCTTCCCAAATCCAAATCCCGTTGTTTTTTTGTAATCCCGGAGAAAATCCGCGCCTGGCGCTGGGAGGTGGCAGCGACATCCCCCGTGTCCCCCGCCCCCAGGTGACATCCCCAGCCACGGGGACACGCCCAGGGGTGGCTCTAGGGACCGTCCCTGTGCCAGAGTGGTTTTTTATAGGGAAAACTTGGAATTTCCGGCCGATGTGGGAATGGGAGGGGGACAAGCCGGACCCTGGTGTCCCCTCCTTTGGGGACAAGCCGAGTGTGATGTCACCGTGCCGGTGACAAGGACACAGCCGGGGCTCTGGGGATCGCTGGGAATGCGGATCCCAGATTTCTGGGAAAGTGGATCCCGGTTTTTTAAGCGTTCCCGCAGCTGGAAAGGCCCCCTGGGGGGGGACACTGTCCCCCCTGTCCCTCACGTGTCCCCCATGTCCCTCACGTGTCCCCCATGTCCCTCACGTGTCCCCTGACCCCGCTGTCCCCCCGGCATTCCCGAGGGACAATCCCGGCGCTCTCGGGATGGGAACGGG